AAAAATCTTCGAAAAATTAATTCATAAACGAATCTACTCCTACCTCATCTCCCAAAACATATTCAACCCCTGCCAATTTGGATTCAGGCCTAATAAAAATACTAATGATGCTATTATACACATGCTAGAACATATATACACTGCAATAGAGAAAAAAGAAGTCCCACTGGGGATCTTCATTGACTTACGTAAAGCTTTTGATACAGTTGACCATGACTTGCTCCACATAAAATTGTCACTCTATGGTATAAGAAGGCACTCCCTCAACTACCTCAAGTCATACCTCAGCAACAGAAGCCAATATGTGTACACAAATGGGGCAAACTCTTTTGCACAACCAATTACAGTTGGTGTCCTACAGGGAAGTGTCCTTGGCCCTCTTCTCTTTCTCCTATACATAAATGACCTACGAAATGCTTTGCAATTACTCAAACCCACACTATTTGCAGATGACACTACATACATCTTCTCTCACCTGAGCCCAGTCATGCTAGCCAATACTGTAATTACCAAATTACAGAAAATATCTACCTGGATGAGGACTAACAAACTTACACTAAACATTGACAAAACCTACTTCATTCAGTTTGGTAACAGAGCTACAGATGTCCCTCTTAACATAATGATAAATGGATCACCTATCACAAAGCTAACAGCGGGAAAATTCTTAGGAATCCACCTTGACAATAGACTCAAATTTCATACACATATACAACAAATTTCTAAGAAAATTTCCAAGACCATAGGTATACTATCGAAGATACGGTACTATATTCCACAGTCAGCCCTCCTGGCCCTATATCACTCTCTTATTTACCCCTATCTCACCTATGGAATTTGTGCATGGGGCTCAACAACAATTAACCATCTCAGACCACTAATTACCCAACAAAAGGCTGCAGTCAGAATGATAACAAATTCCCACTACAGGCAGCACACTCCACCAATATTCAAAACACTAAACCTACTCACCATACAAAACATCCATACTTATTACTGCACCTATTACATACATAGAACACTTAACTCTGATATTAACCCTCCCCTCAAACATCTCCTTGCCAACCTCAACAGAACACATGACCATAACACAAGGCACAGATCACTCTTTGATGTTCCTCATGTCCATCTTAGGCTATGCAAAAACTCAATGCACATAAAAGGCCCTAAAATCTGGAATTCATTACCTGTAAATATAAAAGAAACACTACCTGTTTATAAATTCAAGTCTCTTCTCAAAGATCACTTACTCACCCAAAACCAAATAAATACTGAATAACTGAACCTTATAAATTGTATATCTTAAATGTTTCTCATAATTATATCACATAAATGTTAAACCTAAGACCCAATCTAACTTTGTTATTTTTTAAATACACTACGTAAAAGAATACTCCATTCTACTGAATGTACAGCAATGCATGCAACCATATGACCTGTCTTTGTAATACTCATTTGTGTTTTATTGTTATCTGTTTACAATAATGTTTTATCACTGATTACATCATTACTTAGTTAATCTTAAGTTAATTTTAAGCCTGCCCGTAATGCTATGCATACAAGTGGCTTTGGCATGCTGCTCTTACCTGTATTTTTTTGTACCTCTGTATGTATGTTCAAATTTAAAAAAAAAAAAAAAAAAAAAAAAAAAAAAAAAAGCCTGGCCACTACAAAATCAGTCATTCTGTTCACATTGCACATCTATGTTCATGTTATAGTGGGTTATAGGAAAATCTCCCTATTTTGTAGTTTTTCAAAAAAGATTTTGCTAAATTCTATACATATTTGGAATACTGTATTTAACCCTTTCAGGGTCCGTCCCGTAGATCTACGGCTTTACGTTCGGGGTCCAAACCGTAGATCTACGTCATGAGCTCAGCTCACTCTGATAAACTGTGAGTGGTACATTTGGGCCTAGATATGAGAGAATACATCTATGTGGTATGTGTGCACCACATAAAACAGATTCTACAGCACAGTGTATAATGAGAGAAAAAAAACTGAGATCATGATTTTTCGATTAAAACAGCGACTTTGCAGTGTTTTTTCGTATGTTTTTTGTAGTTGTATTTGCGATTTCTTGGTCTCATTTGATAGAATGGAAGACATATTACAGAAATAGAGATGATTTTAATTGGTTTTAGTACTGGAAATGGCTTGAAACTGAGCTCAAAGTAGCGGAAATGTTAAATTTTTTGCCGATATTCAAGAGTAAACAAACGACCTCACACATCTAATACACACCAGCTGGTGGGTCTAATATACATTCACAAATATGGTGATGATATTTATACACTTATTACAGTACTATTGCATAACAGTAAATCTTCTATTTTTTGGTGTGAATAAACGTTCATTATGTGAATAAAAAATCAAAATGGAATTTATTTGTAAAGCCTCAAAACGTAACTAATGAACAGAGGAAACGTTAGTTTAGTTCCAGGAATACCTACATTGTTTATTCTGGACCCCATTTTGAAATTGGAATATTTTGAACTTTGTGTTAAATTGGCCAAATTAACAATTTCCGATCACTTTATTTTGTAGTTGAAACAGTTGACTTGGCGATTTCTTGTGCTCAGTCGATAGAATAGAAGTAATACTAGTGAAATAGCTAAGAATTTGGTTGACTGGAATAATGTAATTGGCCTAAACTGGGAGTCAAAGTCGGCAAAATCGCCTATTCGTAAATATCGCTGACACATCAAAATTCACGAGAGCATAATTTCATCAATTTTCCATCAAATTTCGTACTTTTTGTTTTATTACCTTCACAAAAAGATTCTCTACCATTTCATAAGAAAAAATAACAAATTTTTTTTTTTGAAAATTCTTGGACACTGGGGCACCACTTCAGATTTGGGCCTTGGACCCTGAAGGGGTTAAAAAATTTAGTGTGTGTCTAATTTGATTTTTTCTGAATTAGAAAGTTTTTAATTTTTTCCAATATTGGAATCATACATGAGTTACACATACCCAGACATGAATTAGTCTTAATAAGAGTGAGATTGCTTTACTGAGATTGAGGTTTTTGCAAAAATTATAATAAAAACTAAATATGCTACACACAGTTGCAGCTCTGGAATTTCTGTATAGGAGGGACTTGGGTGACAGTCTGGTTGGACATGGGGCAGGAGACTTGTATAGAAGCTACTTTATTATTTTTATTTTGAGATGCTGATGGAGATTATGGGAGCTGAAGCATTGTTACTGGCTGCACTAAGTATTGTACTTCCATATGATTCATAAGAAAATGTTCAAATTGAGGCATGAAATGGCTCCCAGAGATAGAAGGAATTATTAACTTTAGAAGAGGTAGTAAAACTAACAAGCTGAAAAGAAGCCACTATGGGAGAATCTAAACCTTTATTTGCTTAAGAGACCAAGCATGTTTTTACAAGTCTACAGAGAATAAATGGTAAGGATAGGTGTGTGTGTGTGTGTATATATATATATATATATATATATACACACACACACACACACACACACACACACACGAGGGGAGGTGACAAGGAGCTGTGAGGTACCAAGCAGGATCATTGAACCTGAAACATTGGGTAACTTAAAAAAAAAAAAAAAAAAGTCTGGGCTTGAGAGGAGCCTAACCTGCATAGGCTAATAGTCCCACTGGCCCATGTTAGGCAGGTCCCTCTCTCAAATCCAACCTTTATAACTCATTTTTTTAACCCTTTCAGGGTCCACAGGCCAAATTTCAAAGTGTGCACCAGGGTCCAAGAATTTTAAAAAAAAAAATTTTTGTTATTTTTTCTTATGAAATGGAAGAGAATCTTTTTCTGAGGGTAATAAAACAAAAAGTATGAAATTTAATGGAAAATTGACGAAATTATGCTCTTGCGAATTTTGACGTTTCAGCGATATTTACGAATCGGCGATTGTGCTGACTTTGATTCCCATTTTAGGCCAATTACATTATTCCAGTCGACCAAATTCTTAGCTATTTCACTAGTATTACTTCTATTCTATCGATTGAGCACAAGAAATCGCCAAGTCAACTGTTTCAACTACAAAATAAAGTGATCGGAAATTGGTAATTTGGCCAATTTAACACAAAGTTCAAAATAGGGTCCAGAATAAACAATGTAGGTATTCCTGGCATTAAACTAACATTTCCTCTGTTCATTAGTTATGTTTTGAGGCTTTACAAATGAATTCCATTTTTATTTTTTATTCACATAATGAATTTTTATTCAAACCAAAAAAATAGAAGATTTACTGTGATGCAGTATTGTAATAATTGTATAAATATCATCACCACATTTGTGAATGTATACTAGACCCACCAGCTGGCGTGTGTTAGACGTGTGAGGTCGTTTGTTTACTCTTGAACATCAGTAAAAATATAACATTTCTGCTACTTTGAGCTAAGTTTCAAGCCATTTCCAGTGCTAAAACCAATCAAAATCATCTCTATTTCTGTAATATGTCTTCCATTCTATCAAATGAGACCAAGAAATCGCAAATACAACTATAAAAAACATACAAAAAAAAAACTCCGGAAAGTCGGTTTTAATCGAAAATCACGGTCTCGGTTTTTTCTCTCTCATTATACACTGTGTGCTGTAGGATTTGTTTTATGTTTTGCACACATACCACATAGATGTATTCTCTCATATCTAGGCCCAAATTTACCACTCATAGCTTATCAGAGTGAGCTGAGCTTATGGCTCAGATCTACGGTTTGGACCCTGAACATAAAGCCGTAGATCTATGGCACGGACCCTGAAAGGGTTAAATTTACCCAAGGTTTCAGCTTCAATAGTTCTTAGTACCTCAGCACCTGGGTTGAGAAGACAGAGTTTGTGCAGTCACATAAAAGAATTGATACAGTATCAGTTAATATAAGACTAATTATCATATAGACTATAATATTTCAAATTTTAATATTTTTCAGCCCTTAGACCAATGGTTAGCTTAAATTTGACTAATGTATGTACATACATGGACATTTATATATTATTCTTCCTTGCCACCTACAGATCACAAGTACAGGAGGCTCAGCTGCAAGGTCTTGTTCCAGAAGACTTTCTTGGTGTCAATGATTCTTATACGTACTTCAGTCAACTGAGCTCAGGACAGTTTCTTCTCAAGCCTGGTCATACAGGAACCAATGTTATGGACCTGCAAATCCTACTCATTAATCCCAAATTGTGACAGTTTGCCACTACTTCGTTTATGAGTTTGCTGTATAAAAATTGCTGAACATTTTAGTTTTTGTCCTCCATTCAGAATAAGCAGAAGCATGATCTATTTCCAGGTTGTAGACTAATTGTGAAGGAACCCTCATTTTTTTTAGTAACAATTCTTCTCATTGACCCTCAAGGGAGGTTCCTTGATGCCAGTGAGGGACTTCTGATGCAACAAATTGTACCTCCTTTGCTCAGACTAAACCTGATTGCTTCCCATTTCCCCTAGGTGCCGTATGACTTACTGGTTAAGTGCTTCCACCTAAATATAACAATGGTCAGATTGGCACTGTGGTCTGCACTGTATGACCCTGGTGGTTGAGCGCTTAGTTTTGATTATAATAATAATAATAATGGCAACCAGGTAGTAGGTTGGTAGACAGCAGCCGCCCAGGGAGGTACTACCGTCCTGCTTAATGAGTGTAAAACGGAAACCTGTCATTGTTTTACATGATGGTAGGATTGTTGGTGTCTTTTTTCTGTCTCATAAACATGCAAGAATTCAGGTATGTCGTGCTACTTCTACCTGCACTTAGGTCACACTACACTTGCATGTACAAGCATGTATATACACACCCCTCTGGGTTTTCTTCCCTTTTCTTACCAGTTCCCAGTTCTTGTTTATTTCCTATTATCACCATGGGAAAGTGGAACAGAATTCTTCCTCCATTAGCCATGTGTGTTGTAAGAGTAATGTATACAGGAGCAAGGGGTTAGTAACCCCCTTCTCCTGTTTTTTTTTTTTTTCAACAAGTCGGCCGTCTCCCACCGAGGCAGGGCGACCCAAAAAAGAAAGAAAATCCCCAAAAAGAAAATACTTTCATCATCATTCAACACTTTCACCACACTCACACATTATCGCTGTTTTTGCAGAGGTGCTCAGAATACAACAGTTTAGAAGCATATACGTATAAAGATACACAACATATCCCTCCAAACCCCTCCTTTAAAGTGCAGGCATTGTACTTCCCATTTCCAGGACTCAAGTCCGACTATATGAAAATAACCGGTTTCCCTGAATCCCTTCACTAAATATTACCCTGCTCACACTCCAACAGATCGTCAGGTCCCAAGTACCATTCGTCTCCATTCACTCCTATCTAACATGCTTATGCACGCTTGCTGGAAGTCCAAGCCCCTCGCCCACAAAACCTCCTTTACCCTCTCTCTCCAACCCTTTCGAGGACGACCCCTACCCCGCCTTCCTTCCCCTATAGATTTATATGCTTTCCATGTCATTCTACTTTGATCCATTCTCTCTAAATGACCAAACCACCTCAACAACCCCTCTTCTGCCTCTAATACTTTTATTAGCTCCACACCTTTTCCTAATTTCCACACTCCGAATTTTCTGCATAATATTTACACCACACATTGCCCTTAGACAGGACATTTCCACTGCCTCCAACCGTCTCCTCGCTGCTGCATTTACCACCCAAGCTTCACACCCATATAAGAGTGTACACTATTAAAGTATACACTATTAAAGTTAAAAAGAGAAACTTTTATATTTCTTTTTGGGCTACCCTGTCTCAGTGGGATACAGCTGGGTTGTTGAAAGAAATAAGAGATCTACGTATTGTGTACCATGTATTCTTACATTTGCCAACCATTTTTTTTTCATGAATTGCTGTTGTATTACTATATTTTGTAACCCATCTGTATTTTTACCGATATTTAATATTTTGCCTTTTCTTCTAATTGCCCTCTGAATCCTGCTTCTTTTTTCTTATGTATGCCCTCTTCTACCTTGACATTTTAATTTACTTTTCAAATCACTAATTCTTTCAACAAACTGGCCATATCTCACCGAGGCAGGATGGCCCAAAAGGAAAAACGAAAGTTTCTCCTTTTAAATTTAGTAATACATATACAGGAGAGTAGGTAGTAGGTTGGTAGACAGCAACTGCCCAGGGAGGTACTACCGTCCTGCCAAGTGAGTGCAAAACGAAAGCCTGTAATTGTTTTACATGATGGTAGGATTGCTGGTGTCTTTTGTCTGTCTCATAAATATGCAAGATTACAGGTAAGTCTTGCTACTTCTACTTACACTTAGGTCACACTACACATACATGTACAAGCATATATATACACACCCCTCTGGGTTTTCTTCTATTTTCTTTCTAATTCTTTCTAATCCTCTGTAAGCCATGCGTGTCGTAAGAGGCGACTAAAATGCCGGGAGCAAGGGGCTAGTAACCCCTTCTCCTGTATTCTTTCTTTCTTTTCTTTCAACACACCGGCCGTATCCCACCGAGGCGGGGTGGCCCAAAAGGAAAAACGAAAGTTTCTCCTTTTACATTTAGTAATATATACAGGAGAAGAGGTTACTAGCCCCTTGCTCCCGGCATTTTAGTTGCCTCTTACAACACGCATGGCTTACGGAGGAAGAATTCTGTTCCACTTCCCCATGGAGATAAGAGGAAATAAACAAGAATAAGAACTAGAAAGAAAATAGAAGAAAACCCAGAGGGGTGTGTATATATGTGCTTGTACATGTATGTGTAGTGTGACCTAAGTGTAAGTAGAAGTAGCAAGACGTACCTGAAATCTTGCATGTTCATGAGACAGAAAAAAGGACACCAGCAATCCTACCATCATGTAAAACAATTACAGGCTTTCGTTTTACACTCACTTGGCAGGACGGTAGTACCTCCCTGGGCAGTTGCTGTCTACCAACCTACTACCTACTCTCCTGTATATGTATTACTAAATTTAAAAGGAGAAACTTTCGTTTTTCCTTTTGGGCCATCCTGCCTCGGTGGGATACGGCTGGTACGTTAAAAGAAGAAGAATATACAGGAGAACGGGTTACTAGCTCCTTGTTCCTGGCATTTTAGTTGCCTCTTACGACATGCATGACTTCTGGAGGAAGAATTCTGTTCCACTTCCCCATGGAAATAAAAGCTCTTATCTTGATTGCCATTTAACTCTTCTTTAAAAGTATAAATACAGGATAATCAAATATAAATAATATCTTGTCAGTAATTCACAGTAAATTTATTAATAAATAATTTCTTCTAATGTTTTAAAACAGAGTACTGGGTAATTTACATATATATATATACGTATATTTAAACAGTGTAGTTCAACAAAATATTTATTGGTAGCTTATAATGGTGATGAGTTATTTTGAAAAAAAAAATTATATATATACAAAAATGACTAGATTTATTGCAACTTACTTTATTCCATTATGCATGAATATATTCTTCCTTTATTAAATTACAATTTATTTTTGTTCAGGATGTACTTGGGGTCTCTTCATCTAGATCAATACAGCTGAAACAAAAATAAACCATATATGCCAATTTGTTTTTTTTCAACAAGTCGGCTATTTCCCACCGAGGCAGGGTGACCCAAAAAAGAAAAAATCCCCAAAATGAAAATACTTTCATCATCATTCAACACTTTCATCTAACTCATACATAATCACTGTTTTTGCAGAGGTGCTCAGATACAACAGCTTAGAAGCACATATAAAGATATAATAAACTATACTATTTACCATACAGAATATAATATCAGGGCCCCAATTATATATATGCCGTCCTATTACACATCCCTCCAAACTGCTAATATCCCAAACCCCTCCTGTAAAGTGCAGGCATTGTGCTGTACTTCCCATTACCAGAACTCAAGTCCGGCTATATAAAAATAACCAGTTTCCCTGAATCCCTTCACTAAATATTACCCTGCCAATTATTTTTTTTTAATAAAAATGTGTGTTCACAAGTAATTATGATGAAGAATCAAAACTGTTTAATTTTCTGTTATATATTTAAATTTCAAGAGATTGCCAGATGGATAATGATCATTCTAGAAACCTTATTCTTTCCACTGACAACTGCCATAAATCAAATCAATAATACAGGCAGTCCTTGTTTTACACCGCTTCGCTTTACAGCGTTTTCCAAATACAGTGGTGGCCTGGTGGCTAATGTTCTCGCTTCACATGGCGAGGGTCTGGGTTCGATTCCCAGCCAGGGTAGAAACACTGGGGGTGTTTCTTTACACCGGTTGTCTATGCTCACCCATCAGTAAAATGGGTACCTGGGTGTTAGTCGACTGGTGTGGGTTGCATCCTAGGACAAAACTGACCTAATTTGCCAGAAATACTCTGCATAACAAAGGGGCTTCCTATATAGTAGTACATGTATGTCATTGATGTCAGTTAGGCCTGTATACCATGTACATGTAGTAAATAAAGATTATTATTATTATTATTATTATTATTATTATTATTATACCCATTCTTCATTTATTCAGACTCCTTAAAATAAATATATTTATCATTCACTATAAGCTAAGAACAAAAATATTTTAAGGTAAGTAATGTGTGTACTGTATATGCATTTTCAGGCCTAGTTATATTGCTCACTTAATATATGATAGTGTAAAAACGTCATCAGGCTTTTATTTTTTTCAACACATCGGCCATTTCCCAACAAGGCAGGGTGACCCAAAAAGAAAGAAAAAAAAAACTCTCATCATTCAACACTTTCACCATCACTCATACATAATCACTGTCTTTGCAGAGGCAATCAGATATGACAATTTAGATGTCCCTCCAAACGTATATATATGTTCTCTCACGTAGCGCCCCAAACGTATATAGTATATGTTCCATTTGTCATTCATTGAACACTGGTATGATAGACCCAAGTCACCTAGACATGAGAGAATGGGTGTGCGAACTCAGTGTGCACCATATGAAAAAATTGGGGATGCCTGGGTACCACATGCTCTTCTTTCCTATATAAAAAAAAAAAAAAAAACAATTTTTTTTCTCAAAATATTCGGGGCGCTACGCGAAAGAATGTATATATACATTTGGACCATTTAAGGGTTAAAGTGCAGGCATTGTACTTCCCACCTCTGGGACTCGAATCCAGCTAACTGGTTTCCCTGAATCCCTTCACAAAATATTACCCTGCTCACACTCCAACAGCTTGTCAGGTCCCAAAAACCATTTGTCTCCATTCACTCCTATCTAACACACTTATGCACGCTTGCTTGAAGTCCAAGCCCCTTGCCCAGAAAACCTCCTTTACCCACTTACTCCAAACTTTTCGGGGAAGACCCATATCCCACCTTCCTTCCCCAACAGATTTATACGCTCTCAAAAGTCACTCTCTTGTTCATTCTCTCTAAATGACCAAACCACCTCAACAGTCCCTCTTCAGTCTTCTGACTAATATTTTAGTAACTCCACACCTCCTCCTAATTCCCACACTACGAATTCTCTGAATAATATTTACATAACACATTGCCCTTAAACATGACATCTCTACTGCCTCCAGCAGTGGAGATGTGGATTATAATTACAGTGGACCCTCGACCAACGATGGCATCGATTAACGATAAATCTGACTAGCAATACATTTTAACGCAAAAATTTTGCCTCGACTAGCGTTTAAAAACCCGACCAGCGCTATTCGTTCCGTACCATACGCGTCCACTTTGGCCTGAGCGCGCCTCACTTGTCCCTTTGGTGCCAGTGTTTACAAGCCAGCCAGCCACTGCGGTCGCTTCCAAACATACAACTGGAACATTTCATATTATCACAGCCTTTTCAGTGATTGCACCTGCAAAATAAGTCACCATGGGCCCCAAGAAAGCTTCTAGTGCCAACCCTACAGCAAAAAAGGGTGAGAATTACTATGGAGATGAAGAAAGAGATCATTGATAAATATGAAAGTGGAGTGCATATCTCTGAGCTGGTCAGGTTGTATAATAAACCCCAATCAACCATCGCTACTATTGTGAGCAAGAAAACGGCAATCAAGGAAGCTGTTCTTGCCAAAGGTGCAACTATGTTTTCGAAACTGAGATCGCAAGTGATAGAAGATGTTGAGAGACTTTTCTTGGTGTGGATAAATGAGAAACAGATAGCAGGAGACAGCATCTCTCAAGCGATCATATGTGAAAAGGCTAGGAAGTTGCATGACGATTTAATTAGAAAAATGCCAGCAACTAGTGACGTGAGTGAATTTAAGGCCAGCAAAGGTTGGTTTGAGAGATTTAAGAAGCGTAGTGGCATTCATAGTGTGATAAGGCATGGTGAGGCTGCCAGTTCGGACCACAAATCGGCTGAAAAATATGTGCAGGACTTCAAGGAGTACATAGACAGTGAAGGACTGAAACCTGAACAAGTGTTTAATTGTGACAAAACAGGCCTGTTTTGGAAGAAAATGCCAAGCAGGACGTACATTACTCAGGAGGAAAAGGCACTCCCAGGACATAAGCCTATGAAAGACAGGCTTACTCTGTTGATGTGTACCAATGCTAGTGGTGATTGCAAAGTGAAGCCTTTATTGGTGTATCACTCTGAAACTCCCAGAGTGTTCAGGAAAAACAATGTCCTCAAGGCTAATTTGTGTGTGCTGTGGAGGGGAAACAGTAAGGCATGGGTCACTAGGGACTTTTTCCTATGACTGGTTACATCATGCATTTGCCCCCAATGTGAAAAATTACCTAATTGAAAAGAAATTAGACCTTAAGTGCTTCCTGGTATTAGACAATGCTCCTGGTCACCCTTCAGACTTGGCAGAGCGACTTTCTAGGGGCATGAGCTTCATTAAGGTGAAGTTTTTGCCTCCTAATACCACTCCTCTCCTGCAGCCCATGGACCAGCAGGTTATTTCCAACTTCAAGAAACTGTACACAAAAGCTATGTTTGAAAGGTACTTTGTAGTGACCTCAGAAACTCAACTGACTCTAAGAGAGTTTTGGAAAGATCATTTTACCATCCTCAATTGTGTAAACATTATAGGTAAGGCTTGGGAGGAAGTGACTAAGAGGACATTGAACTCTGCTTGGAAAAAACTGTGGCCAGAATGTGTAGACAAAAGGTATTTTGAAGGGTTTGAGGCTAACCCTGAGAATCCTATGCCAGTTGAGGAATCCATTGTAGCATTGGGAAAGTCCTTGGGGTTGGAGGTTAGTGGGGAGGATGTGGAAGAGTTGGTGGTGGAGGACAGTGAAGAACTAACCACTGATGAGCTGCTAGATCATTTTCAACAGCAAGAGGGCACACCTGAGGAAACTGCTTCGGAGGAGGGGAGAGAGAAATTGAAGAAGTTGCCTACTTCTAAGATAAAGGAAATGTGTGCAAAGTGGCTTGAAGTGCAAACCTTTTTTGATGAAAATCACCCTGACACAGCTACTGCAAGCCGTGCTGGTGACTATTACACTGACACTGTTGTGAACCACTTTAGGAAAGTCATAAAGGAACGAGAGGTACAGGCCTCTATGGACAGATATGCTGTATAGCCCTTGTGGCTTAGCGCTTCTTTTTGATTATAATAATAATAATATGGACAGATATGTTATGCGACAGAAGTCCAGTGACTCTCAAGCTGGTCCTAGTGGCATTAAAAGAACAAGGGAAGTAACCCCAGAAAAAGACTTGCTGCCTCAAGTGCTAATGGAAGGGGATTCCCCTTCTAAACACTAACACCTCTCCCCTCCTCCCATCCCATCAATCATCACCAGATCTTCAATAAAGGCAAGTGTCACGTAACTGTGCATGTAATCTTCAGTTTGTGTGTATTAAAATTAATATTTCATGTGGTAATTTTTTTTTTTTCAATACTTTTGGGTGTCTTGCACGGATTAATTTGATTTCTATTATTTCTTATGGGGAAAATTAACGTGACTAACGATAATTCTGACTAACGATGAGCTCTCAGGAACGGATTAATATCACTGGTTGAGGGTCCACTGTATTATTATAATTATTATTATAATTATAGTGAAACTCAGGTTAGGGTGTGTAGAAGAGAGGGAGACTACTTCCTGGTAAAAGTAGGTCTTAGACAGGGATGTGTAATGTCACCATGGTTGTTTAATATATTTATAGATGGGGTTGTAAAAGAACTAAATGCTAGGGTGTCCAGGAGAGGGGTAGGATTAAATTATGGGGAATGAAATACAAAATGGAAAATGACACAGTTGCTTTTTGCTGATGATACTGTGCTTATGGGAGATTCTAAAGAAAAATTGCAAAGGTTAGTGGACGAGTTTGTGAGGGTATGTAAAGGTAGAAAGTTGAAAGTGCACACAGAAAAGAGTAAGGTGATGAGGGTATCAAATGATTTAGATAAAGAAAAATCGGATATCAAATTGGGGAGGAGTATGGAAGAAGTGAATGTTTTCAGATACTACTTGGGAGTTGACATGTTGGCAGATGGATTTATGAAGGATGAGGTTAATCATAGAATTGATGAGGGAAAAAAGGTGAGTGGTGCATTGAGGTATATGTGGAGACAAAAAAATGTTATCTATGGAGGCAAAGAAGGGAATGTATGACAGTATAGTAGTACCAATACTCTTATATGGGTGTGAAGCTTGGGTTGTGAATGCAGCAGCGAGGTGGCGGTTGGAGGCAGTAGAGATGTCCTGTCTAAGGGCATTGTGTGTTGTAAATATTATGCAGAAAATTCAGAGTGTGGAAATCAGGAGAAGGTGTGGAGTTAATAAAAGTATTAGTCAGAGGGCTGAAGAGGGGTTGTTGAGGTGGTTTGGTCATTTAGAGAGAATGAATCAAAGTAGAATGACATGGAGAGCGTATAAATCTGTAGGGGAAGGAAGGCGGAGTAGGGGTCATCCTCGAAAAGGTTGGAAGGAAGGGGTAAGGGAGGTTCTGTGGGTGAGGGGCTTGAACTTTCAGCAGGTATGCGTGAGCGTGTTCGATAGGAGTGAATGGAGACGAATGGTATTTGGGGCCTGACAATCTGTTGGAGTGTGAGCAGGGTAATATTTAGTGAAGGGATTCAGGGAAACCGGTTATTTTTTATATAGCCGGACTTGAATCCTGGAAATGGGAAGTACAATGCCTGCACTCTAAAGGAGGGGTTCGGGATACTGGCAGTTTGGAGGGATATGTTGAGTATCTTTATACGTACGTATATGCTTCTAAACTGTTGTGTTCTGAGCACCTCTGCAAAAATAGTGATTATATGTGAATGAGGTGAAAATGTTGAATGATGATGAAAGTATTTTCTTTTTGGGGATTTTCTTTCTTTTTGGGTCACCCTGCCTCGGTGGGAGACGGCTGACTTGTTAAAATAATAATAATAATAATAATATAAGAAAAATTGGATATCACATTGGAGGGAGGGAGTATGGAAGAAGTGAATGTGTTCAGATATTTAGGAGTAGATTTGTCAGCATATGGGTTTATGAAGGACGAAGTTAAGCATAGAACTGATGAAGTAAAAGAGGTAAGTGGTGCATTGAGGAATCTTTGGAGACAAAAAAACATTATCCATGGAGGCAAAGAAGGTAATGTTTAAGAATATAGTGGTACCAACACACACATTGGTGTGAAGGATAGGTTGTAAATGGTGCAGCAAGGAGGAGAGTGGAGAATTCGAAAAGTGGAAATTAGGAGAAGCTATAGAGTTAGTAAAAGTATTAGTCAGAGGGCTGAAGAGGGATTATTGAGGTGGTTTGGTCATTTACAGAAGGATGGAGAGGTAGGGGTCAGCCTAAGAAAGGATGGAGGGAGGGAGTAAAAGAGGTTTTGTGTGTAAGGGGCTTGGACATGCAGTAAGCATGTGTGAGAATGTTAAATTGGTGTGAATGGAGACAAATGTTTTTTGGGACCTGACGAGCTGTTGGAATGCAAACAGGGTAATATTTTGTGAAGGGATTCAGGGAAACCAGTTAGCTGGACTCAAGTCCCAGAGGTGGGAAGTACAATCCCTGCACTTTAAAGGAGGGGTTTGGGATACTGGCTGTTTGGAGCAGCATCTAAACTGTCATATATGGGTGCCTCTGCAAAGACAGTGACATTGTGTGAATGATGGTGAAAGTGCCTCTCTCTTTTTTGGGTCACCCTGCCTTGGTTGGAGATGGCTTTGTTAAAAAGTAAAAATAATAACAGAACAATAATAATGAGTTTCCTTGAATCCCTTCATAAATGTTACTTTGCTGGAGTGTGAGAAGAGGTATCATTTACAAAAGGATTCAGGGTAATCTTTTAGCTGAATTTGAGTACTGGAGGTGGAGAGTCCAGTGCCTGCAATCTGAAGGAAGGGTGAGGATGTTGCAGTTTTGAGGGTCATCTTAATTGTGATGCTGGTGCCCTTCTGGCAAGACAGTGATCGTATGAGTGACAGCGAAAGTGTTTTCTTTTTTGTCGGGTCACCCTACCTCGGTGGGAGACGGCCTGATTGGGAAGTACAGCGCCTGCATTCTGAAGGAGGGGTGAGGATATCTGCAGTTTTGTACTGTAGTATTGGTGTATATCTGTAGTGAATGATGGTGAAAGTGTTCCTCCTTTTTTGGGTCACCTTACCTCGGTGAGAGATGACTGGTTCGTTGAAAAAAATAATGATTATTATTATTATTATGATGATGCCACCCTGTCTTGGTGCATGATGGCCACTGAGTAGTCCAGGTGCTTCCATGATGCATCAATTACACTCTCAAGGAACACTGGAGAATGTGATTTTTTAAATAAATATCATAAAAGCACTTGTAATTTTTTTCCCTTTCACATATGTATATACAAACATACATATACACACATACAGTAAAATTTCTTACTTTTAAGTTTGTGTAGCAAGATATCTGTTATCCTGCGGTTCTGGGAACTTGGATGGAAGAGATGGAGACCTCAAACTAATGCTTGCTGAGTATCTTACACCAGCAATATCTACCTCATAATGGCCATCCATTACATATTCAGGAGTGACATAAGCCATCTGTCCATTTTGATCATACTTTCGCACAAAGCCCAGACAAATCTGAAACAATGGAATTTCCAATAACAATTAAGAAATGCCTGACAATCATACTGAAACATTTGCAAGTGGTTTGTGTGCAAATGGTATGTGCATATCACCACTGTCCTCTTGTTTTCCACTTATATAAAGTGCAGAGGAATACATAAAGAAGAAATAAAGAGCAATGCAAATAGAGAGGGTTAAACATATTAAAAAAAAACTCAAATGCTAACATAAAGGTAAAAAGAAACTATTTAAGAAAAAACCTTCCCAAAGGATATCTACACTTATCAGCAATGCAAGAAATTGCATTACTGTAACAGTACTGTATCTAGACAAAGTGTGCATTACTCTATTGCCACAAATAAAATGAAATCATTCATATTCCTAACAAACTACTTGTGCTCAGTCCTCTTCATTACTAGTTATCATATAATGTGCATGCAATAACATGCTCTCTTCAATCTAATAAGTTACCAGCTTTTGAACTCCATATCACTACCCTTATTATTGACTATTCTACCCTCTTAATGCCACACATGTTTCTTAGGATATTTGTCTCTACTTCTTTAACTCTTAATAGAAATTGGCTTTAGGATATCTGTAAGGGTATCAATAACTTATTTTAGGATATACCATGTATTTTAAATTAATTGGGCATAAAACCTAGCTCTGGTAGGCTAGAGGATGCTTAACCACCAAGTGAGTCATTATCTGATTAAAACCCACAAAAGAAGACATGGTGCCCTTTCCTGACAAAGAAACCACTACCACCACTTCAGCTCCAGATTTCTTATGCTCATCATACACCATAATTTTGCATCCATCATGCAGCTGTGTGGCTACATTCCTTCCTATACTGCTCTTGTTTATCAAGAACTTTTGCTTCACCAGCCACTATCCTTCCCTGATTCATTGTAATATAAATGTCATTACTGTCATACTGATCATACTGTCAAGAGGGAGGCTTGGTCTGGGACCATGACAATGATCAACGGAACAATCTTCAGGTAAACTTCAGATTTGGTAACTAATCGTATCCTCCCCATATTCTTAGGTTTCTACCTTACTTTTCTAAGTCTCCTCTTAGTTGTAACATTTCCTTTCTCTCGGCCGTTCCTTCATTAGCTTCATTATTTCATCCATCTTTTATTTTATAATTCACCTTTCCATCAGTTCCCTTCTTTCTCGATTATTTTGTGTGTGTGTGTGTGTGTGTGTGTGTGTGTGTGTTGTGTGTGTGTGTGTGTGTGTGTGTGTGTGTGTGTGGAGAGAGAGAGAGAGAGAGAGAGAGAGAGAGAGAGAGAGAGAGAGAGAGAGAGAGAGAGAGAGAGAGAGAGAGATAGAGATAGAGATAGAGAGAGAGAGAGAGAGAGAGAGATAGAGATAGAGATAGAGATAGATAGAGATAGAGATAGATAGAGATAGAGAGATAGATATAGAGATAGAGAGATAGAGAGAGATAGAGATAGAGAGAGATAGAGATAGAGAGAGAGAGAGAGAGAGAGAGAGAGAGAGAGATAGAGAGAGAGAGATAGAGAGAGAGAGATAGAGAGAGATAGAGAGAGATAGAGAGAGAGAGATAGAGAGAGATAGAGAGAGAGAGATAGAGAGAGATATAGAGAGAGATATAGAGAGAGATAGAGAGAGAGATAGAGAGAGAGATAGAGAGAGATAGAGAGAGAGATAGAGAGAGATAGAGAGAGAGATAGAGAGAGAGATAGAGAGATATAGGGTGGTGATAGAATAAGATGTGAGCTGCACCTTACTCTGATTGTCAGCATTCAGTGATAATGTCACATTTGTCTCGCTAAAGTCTGCAGCAGAATAAATCTTTTATGCCCGTGCTGTCACAGTTGGAGATGGCCTCCAGCTTTATTTCAGTAAATTTATTTCCCATAAACAAAGAATACTGAATTTGTATCCGCTGACTGATCTAATTATGTGACATGTTACTGTATAACAAATAAGATCATGTAAATACACTAACCGCACAGTGTGACTTTGTAAATGGGTTCAAGTCGGACCGAAACCTCGTCGTAAGCTTCTCCTATGTGAAGGTAATTTGTGTATTGTTTCAGTCACCGTATTGTGATTTTTTGTTCTGTAAGATCATATAAAAAAAGAAGAGGGAGATGACTGGCCAGAGATGAGGGTAGATTCTAGGGGTAAGGGGATGAGGGTGAACATACGATTGACTATGGAGAAAAGCATCAGGGGTCAACTTCACGGCAAATACATCTCCAGAGATGCGCATAAAATATTGTAATCTCGGCGGAATAGGTTTCACTAGTAAATCTTATTTAGAATCCTTGAGGACATATAGCATGTCATACACATCAAAGCATCCTTGAGGACACACAGCACGTCATACACATCAAAGCATCCTTGAGGACACACAGCACGTCATACACATCAAAACATCCTTGAGGACACACAGCACGTCATACACATCAAAACATCCTTGAGGACACAGCACATCCCATATCATAAAAATCTTTGAAAGGGTCCTAAGATCACCACCCATCAAGAAAACCCATCAGTTACACAACCCAGGGCAACATGGGTTTAGAACAGGTCGCTCCTCTCTGTCTCAACTATTGGATCACTACGACAAGGTCCTAAATGCACTAGAAGATAAAAAGAATGCAGATGTAATATATACAGACTTTGCAAAAGCCTTCGACAAGTGTGACCATGGCGTAATAGCGCACAAAATGCGTGCTAAAGGAATAACAGGAAAAGTCGGTCAATGGATCTATAATTTCCTCACTAACAGAACACAGAGAGTAGTCGTCAACAGAGTAAAGTCCGAGGCAGCTACGGTGAAAAGCTCTGTTCCACAAGGCACAGTACTCGCTCCCATCTTGTTCCTCATCCTCATATCCGACATAGACAAGGATGTCAGCCACAGCACCGTGTCTTCCTTTGCAGATGACACCCGAATCTGCATGACAGTGTCTTCCATTGCAGACACTGCAAGGCTCCAGGCGGACATCAACCGAATCTTTCAGTGGGCTGCAGAAAACAATATGAAGTTCAACGATGAGAAATTTCAATTACTCAGATATGGTAAACACGAGGAAATTAAATCTTCATCAGAGTACAAAACAAATTCTGGCCACAAAATAGAGCGAAACACCAACGTCAAAGACCTGGGAGTGATCATGTCGGAGGATCTCACCTTCAAGGACCATAACATTGTATCAATCGCATCTGCTAGAAAAATAACAGGATGGATAATGAGAACCTTCAAAACTAGGGAGGCCAAGCCCATGATGACACTCTTCAGGTCACTTGTTCTATCTAGGCTGGAATATTGCTGCACACTAACGCACCTTTCAGGCAGGTGAAATTGCTGACCTAGAAAATGTACAGAGAACTTCATGGCGCGCATAACGGAGATAAAACACCTCAATTACTGGGAGCGCTTGAGGTTCCTAAAACTGTATTCTCTGGAACGCAGGCGGGAGAGATACATGATTATATACACCTGGAAAATCCTAGAGGGACTAGTACCGAACTTGCACACGAAAATCCTCACTACGAAAGCAAAAAGACTTGGCAGATGATGGCAACATCCCCCCAATGAAAAGCATGGGTGTCACTAGCACGTTAAGAGACCATACAATAAGTGTCAGGGGCCTGAGACTGTTCAACAGCCTCCCAGCATACATAAGGGGGATTACCAACAGACCCCTGGCAGTCTTCAAGCTGGCACTGGACAAGCACCTAAAGTCGGTTCCTGACCAGCCGGGCTGTGGCTCGTACGTTGGTTTGCGTGCAGCCAGCAGCAACAGCCTGGTTGATCAGGCTCTGATCCACCACGAGGCCTGGTCACAGACCGGGCCGCGGGGGCGTTGAGCCCCGGAACTCTCTCCAGGTAAACTCCAGGTAATATATATTTGGTAGAATTACCGACATTACATAAAGTAAAAGGACACAAGTGCAACTAATGTGACATTTTATTGTGGCAACGTTTCGCTCTCCAGGAGCTTTGTCAAGCCGTTATGCCTCCTCTTTTAGTTTATAAACCTTTACCTCTCTCTTCCCTGATGCTTCTATTCTCCTTGTATCCCATCTACCTTTTACTCTCAGTGTAGCTACAACTAGAAAGTGATCTGATATATCTGTGGCCCCTCTATAAACATGTACATCCTGAAGTCTACTCAACAGTCTTTTATCTACCAATACATAATCCAACAAACTACTGTCATTTCGCCCTACATCATATCGTGTATACTTATTTATCCTCTTTTTCTTAAAATATGTATTACCTATAACTAAACCCCTTTCTATACAAAGTTCAATCAAAGGGCTCCCATTATCATTTACACCTGGCACCCCAAACTTACCTACCACACCCTCTCTAAAAGTTTCTCCTACTTTAGCATTCAAGTCCCTACCACAATTACTCTCTCACTTGGTTCAAAGGCTCCTATACATTCACTTAACATCTCCCAAAATCTCTCTCTCTCCTCTGCATTCCTCTCTTCTCCAGGTGCATACACGCTTATTATGACCCACTTCTCGCATCCAACCTTTACTTTAATCCACATAATTCTTGAATTTACACATTCATATTCTCTTTTCTCCTTCCATAACTGATCATTTAACATTACTGCTACCCCCTTCCTTTGCTCTAACTCTTCAGATACTCCAGATTTAATCCCATTTATTTCCCCCAAACTGAAAATATCCTACCCCCTTCAGCTTTTTTCGTTTGGGGCCGGCATCCAACTTCTTTTCAATTCATAACATAGCAATATTGTTTTTTGTCATCGCAAAAAATCCACCCATTTAAGCAACCCGTTTTTTAAAGTTTTTCTTTTCTTTTTTTAGAAAATTGTATACAGGGAGAAGGGGTTTACACCCATTGCTCCCGGCATTTTAGTCGCCTCATACGACACGCATGGCTTACGGAGGAAAGATTCTTTTCCACTTCCCCATGGACAATATAAGAAATAAAAAGAACAAAGCTATTTAGAAAAAGGAGAAAAACTAGATGTATGTATATATATAAATGCATGTGCGTGTTTATGAAGTGTGACCAAAGTGTAAGTAGGAGTAGCAAGATATCCCTGTTATCTTAGCGTGTTTATGAGACAGAAAAAGAAAACAGTAAACACTATACAAAAACTAAACAAACTTAAATGTTTAATTTTTTAAAACACATTGGCCATCTTCCACCAAGGCAGGGTAACCCAAAAAAAGAGTAAACACAGTCACCATCATTTAATCACTATCTTAACCAAAGCATGCTGTATTCATAGTTCAGATGACTCTCTGAACTGCAACATCACCCCTTCTTCAAAGGCACTGTACTTCCCACCTCCAAGACACAAGTTCATCTAACCGGTTTCTCCTGAATCCCTTCATGTTACCTTGTTCAAACTCCAACAGAATTTTATGTCACAAAATCTTGATGTCTGGCAAAACAGTGAATGAATGGAAACAAATATGTTTCTCCTCTTTTTTTCGGTCACCCTTCCTAGGTGGAAGATGGCTGGTGTGTTAAAAACTATGTAAATTGTCTATGTAATTTATGTTTTACCAGGTATACAAAACTTTATCACATCACATTTTATTGTTATTTATATAATCAAAAATGTTTATACTACAGTTATATTTTGAAGCCAATAAACTAAGTTATGTATACGTACTATATAATGACAAATTATTATTATTGCAAAATTATCATTATTAAAGTACATGTATAAGTTTCAAATACACAAACTAAGACAGGCTAAAATTCTATTCTGTCAATACCAAATCCATGTATATTTATGAAACTCCACTGGATAATATTACTCTGTTACCTCTAATCCAAGTTTTTTTCAAATGTGCACAATCATTAATGGCCAAAATTTTCACGTTTATTAGCATTACAGCAGTTATTGCTATTATTAGGTTTCTATAATGTCAACATGTTAAAACATAATTACAGTACAGTAAATCCTGAGTTTAATGGACCTCAACTTAATTGATTTTAGAAATACTGGATAAAATCTGCTGGGTCAGCTGATTCATAAACAACAGACGAAGTCCAATGGTTACGGAAGTGTCAGTTACTGTTACAGTCACGGTAAAAAAATCTCATCTCCATCTACCACAATCATCATCATCAGGCACTCATTTTTGCCAATCAGTCCATTAAACTGAGGACTTGGTATCTATACAATGAATACTGTATAACTTTAAATATGAGTTTGTTTTAATTTTAGTTCAGCCTGAAAAGCTGTGCACATTAAGGATTTTGTAGCAGTGTTCAACTATCATCACACTGCAACTTAAAAAAATTCATAACTAATTTGATCTATATTTTTATAAATAATATTCTTGTCATTATTACTGAATGTATAAACAAGAAAAACTTTTGTTTCTTCTTTTTCGGGTCACCCAGCCTCGGTGGACAACAGCCAGTATTCAAAAAAAAATTCTTCTCATTCCTATTATGCTTCAAGTTCACAACCTTTTTTTTTGTCATAAAAAGCTAAGACCCCTTATCCTTAAATTAATAGATGTTTGATGCAGCAAGACATTACTAAAGCCTTCATCACCTACTACAACTTACAAGTGCTACTGTTCAATCTTTATACAGTGGACCCCCGGTTAACGAACTTTTTTCATTCCAGTAGTATGTTCAGGTGCCAGTACTGACCGAATTTTTTCCCATAAGGAATATTGTGAAGTAGATTAGTCCATTTCAGACCCCCAAACATACACGTACAAACGCACTTACATAAATACACTTACATAATTGGTCGCATTTGGAGGTGATCGTTAAGCGGGGGTCCACTGTATGTCTATTACTTACCAGATTATTGAGTGTAAAGCCATAACCAGTGGTGGTTGTGACACCAACAAAAACATCATCTCGATATATAGGTTCACCACCCCATGCCCATGGATCCACTTCTGGGTTATGATCTTGGAGTTTTAGTTGCACATATAATCTCTTTACACCTTCCTTCTTCTGCCGTTCTAATGCTTCTCGACCAATGAAGTCTATGTTTTTCTGCCAATATATGAGGAACAGCATTAGAACTTTACACTTCACATACCAAGTGGTAGATTAACTAGTCCCCTTCTGCTAACAGGTGTGATAAAGAATAAGTAGAAGTGTTTTTAAAGTAGCATACAGATTCCTATCTATATCATCCATATTCGTACTGTATCTGATGTTGTCTTTCCTCTGCCACTTGTCCCCACATCCTTAGGGATTGTGGGGACATATGGCACGTCCCAACATGCCACATGTTTAAAATATTACAGTGCTTGCGCTGGGTATGGTATTGCACTTTTGAGGATCATTTGAATTTGTCCATGCACTTCTGAAAAGACAGCTAGAAAATGAGTGATGGTGAATGTGCTTCCTTGGGGTTACCCAGCCTTTGCCAATTTGCTAATAAAAATCCAATATCTACAATTATTAAGACTGATTAAAAAAAAACAAAAGTACCCAAAATATTTGTGCAACAATTCTATTCTACATTTGTTATTGTTCCACACAGTCCTCTGTTTATGAGTGGTTCCAGTCTGCCAGAGAGGTTTTCCCTGATATTTATACTACAACTTTGTTAGATAGAAATATACATAATATTAATGTAGTCATAGAATTAATTATAAAATTATGTAACAGTTCATTTTACCACTGTAATACTAAAAATTTTACTATTTAAAACAGATTTTAATAAAATTTTAATACTGAATATCATTACCATTTTTAATCAGTGTCCTTCCTATTTATCTCTAATAATATAATAAAGGCTCTTACTATTACTACACTCATCCTTCCTTCCACTATCAATACTACACTCATTTTTCCTTCCTGCATGATTACACTCACCCTTCCTATCCTCAACTTTCCTACACTCATCATTTCTACCCTCATAATGCCTACAATAATCTTTCCTATTCTCAACTTTTCTACTCTCATAATGACTAAACTCAACCTTCCTACACTCATCATTCCTGCCCTCATAATTACTAAGTACACATGGCTTTCCTACTCTCTTAATTACTACTACTCATCCTTCTTACCCTTACACAATTACAGTAATATGAATACTATGTTTACTTTTGTAGAATTATCTGGCATCCTTCCTATTTTGCAAGACTGCTCATCAACAAAATCTATCACATTCATATTTGCTCTCTGTTCATCCAAGAGTTTGTGGTCAACCTTTTGACTATGAAATGGTTCACTGTAAGACAGGCTAAAGAAACTAACATTGAGTTTAACTCTGAAGCTTCGACCACATTCAAGAGGAGTAGTTGTCGAGTCCAAGTCTTGGCCCCAAAATGCATAAAATTTCTCAATCCTTAGTGAGCGCATTGCATAATAGCCAGCATGAAGCATGTTGTATTTCTTCCCCACAGATACTAAATTGTTGTAAACATGTAGTGCATACTGCAAAAGAAAAAACATCACATCAACACAGTGATACAAGAAAAATTAGTGCTTAGCATGACAATACAGCTAAAAATTAATCAAATAATTAGGGAAAGCCTTCACAAGCCACAAGCTTCCTTCTTACAACAGAGGAACTGGATAATGTGATTTTCAGATAAAGGTAAATTAATTTAAAAATGTCTGACAATGTCAGAATGCTGGAAGATATGAATAAAAGGTCAAAAAGTAGAAAATAAAAGGAAACAAAGAAAAATTAATGTATACAAAAGGCAAAGACAGATGGAGAAAACATGGGATAAGAAAAAGGGAAATGGACATAAGAGTAAGGAAGAAAAAAGGAAAGAGAAGGGATAGGGAAGTGAATGATATTCAGATACACCAGAAAAGTGTTCTTACCTGATTTAATAATGATGCCTTAGAAATTAAAAAAAAAATTGAATTTATGAAAGTTGCTTGTGAAAGCAAATTTATGAAGCATTGCATGGGGTAAGAAGCAAGCCAAGGTGACCTGGCGATGGATACTGTTTCACTGATTTACTATTTACTGTATTCATGTGAAGCACAAAACTCATGTGGTCATTCAACACAAGATGAGGTGGAAATGCAATTAATGTCTATCAAGTGCAAGACACATGCACTACATAGCTGCATTCACCTAATTTGATGAGTTAGAAAACCACATAGACAGTCATGATGATGAAAGTTTCATTGGTATCTGTGAAGATACAAAAGCAGATGAATTAACAGCAAAAAAATTACATGGGTGGAGAATTTAAATTTGAAAAAGAACTGAAAAACACAGAAATCTTTACAAGAGACTGAAGTACACAAGATAATACAGTTGATACAATAAATAGGGAAGATATAGACCAGAAATTAACTAAAAATAAGACAGATTTATTGTAGTTGAGGTATAAGAAAATAAAACAAAACCAAAAATATACATATGCCTGTATGGCAAAGCTGATGGAAAAAAAAGTGAAACTAGTTAAGGAACTGAGCATCAAGACCAATCTAAGTTAAAAGATAAAATGGAGAAAATAAATGGCCACAGGTTACCCAAAAACAGTACTCAGGAATGATAACAAATCATAGTGAAAAAAATTAAATATTTATTATTAAGAGAAATAAACAGGAAGAAATTTTTATTAAAAAGCTTACAAAGTTACTGATGGTTTCAGCTAAAGTGAATATCTAGCAAATTATAGGAAAGTAGAAAAAATATAATCTATGACAAAGCTATTGTAAAGATGACATTTACAATATGAAGTACACAGAAGAACCAATGACAAAAGTTTAAGACTAGGAAATGAAAAAACTTTAAGACTATTTTTTATAAGATCCAAAATAAGACAGGGATAGAACAAATACTATATACAATTAAGAATATAAATGAAAGAAGATATGAGAAATTAATTTTGCATTTTTATAAGACAAAGAAAATCTCAGATAGAATATCAACCCAGGAGTCAAGTAATGAAAGTTCTCACCCTCTTTCTCAAATCAGAGTTATATATAGGCAAGAAGTGGGAGTGACTGTTTTTGGTTAATGACCTTTGTAAGACCATGATCAACAATGAATTCCTTTTCACCTAATACAAAATCTTCATTAACTGAAATGTAATTTTTCCATACATCACCTATACAATCAAAAGAAATCTGTTTGTCAGAAATACAGTTTGTCCATCCCTTTCCTCAAAACTGAGGGGCCCATAGGTTTTCTAGACAACTTCTTAATAAGTTTAGTCACACACATTGAATAAAAAATCTTATCACATGCCTGAAACTTTTCCATGTTGAGGAACAAGTGGAAGAGCTAATATGTACTAAGACAGACAGACAGACAGACAGACAGAGAGAGAGTGAGAGTGAGAGAGAGGTGAGAGTGAGAGAGTGAGTGTGAGTGAGTGAGTGTGAGTGAGTGAGTGAGTGTGTGTGTGTGTGTGTGTGTGTGTGTGTGTGTGTGTGTGTGTGTGTGTGTGTGTGTGTGTGTGTGTGTGTGTGTGTGTGTGTGTGTGTGTGTGCTCACCTATTTGTACTCACCTATTTGTGGTTGCAGGGGTCGAGTCTTAGCTCCTGGCCCCGCCTCTTCACCGGTTGCTACTGGGCCCTCTCTCTCCCCGCTCCATGAGCTTTATCAAACCTGTCTTAAAACTGTGTATGGTTCCTGCCTCCACTACGCCATTTTCTAGGCTATTCCACTGCCTTACAACTCTATGACTGAAGAAATACTTCTTAATATCTCTCTGACTCATTTGTGTCTTCAACTTCCAATTGTGGCCTCTTGTTTCTGTGTCCCCTCCTGGAACATCCTGTCTTTGTCCACCTTGTCTATTACACGCAGTATTTTATATGTCGTTATCAGTCTCCCTGACCCTCCTGCCCTCCGTGGTCTTCAGGTGTTTTTCCCTTAATCTTTCTTATGGACATTCCCCTTAGCTCTGGAATAACTGTCGCAAACCTTTGTATTTTTCTTATTTTCTGACTTTGCTTTACAAGGGCGGGTTTCCCAAACAGGTGCTCATACCCCAGTATTGGCCTGAATCACGGGTACGTGTCTTGAAGTTTCCTTACAAAGGTATCGGAATTGTTCTCGGTTTGCCAGGCGCCATTCTGCAGCAGTCATCTGATGTGTGTGCTTCCGGGGACTGTCGGTGTTTATCCCCAAAGTTTTTTCCCCTTTGAGTGAGGTTTGCAGTCTTTGGCCACCAGCCTATAAATCTGTCTGTGGCTTCTGTGCCCTTCCCCCCTTTCATGTCTTTGATTTGGCGGATTTTTAAAAAGGAAGCCATTTGTGGACAGGTGTTTTAGTCTGTCCAGGTCTCTTTGAGTCCTGCCTGGTCCTCATTGATTTAAATTTTCCTATTAATTCACATCTCTGCAAACAGGGACACTTCTGAGTTAACCCTTCCTCTGTCGTTAAATTTTAAAAAAAAAATGCACTGGGCCCTAGGACCGACCCTGTGGGACCCCCGCTCGTAAAGGTTTTCCCCCTGTGTACATCTTTACGTACATGACTCTTTTTCCCTCCCTGTCAGGTATTCTCGTAAATTTTCAGGCCCTTCCTGTATATGCACCTGATGCTTAGCTTTGCACTAATTCTTGTGGGGAAAACTGTGTCAAAGGCTTCTTGCAGTCCAAGAAGATGCAATAACCCACCCCTCTCTCTCGGTTTTTACTTCGTATTTTATCAAAAAAACCCCAAAGGTTTGTGACAGAGATTTCCCTTCCATAAACCCGGTTTTGGGTTTGGCTTTATACTCTTGTTCCCGTTCCGGGTTTGCTCCCCCCACTTCCTCCTGATTTTTCAATAATTTGCTACTTCCCCGCAATGATAAGGTCTTAGTTTAGTGCCTCTTTTCTTTTCCCCTTTTTTAAAAAAATGGGAACTACTTTGCCGTTTTTCCATACCTAGGTGTTGCCCAGTTTCCAGGGAGTTTTAAAGTTTGTGGTAAGTGGCACGCAAACATATATGCCCCCTCTTAAGGACCCACGGGGGATTTGCCCGGTCCATTGCCTTTGAGTATCGATGTCCTTGCAGTTTTCTTCACCTCTCTTCATCTGAGTATGTCGTAACACTTTTTGGTGTTACCTTGCTGGTGTCCCCATCTGGTCTGTCCCCAGAGTCCTTCCTGTCTTATGAAAAATACTTCCTTAAATCTCGTGTTGAGTCCTCACATACCTCTTGATCGTTTCTTGTGAGTTCTCCACCTTTTTTTCCCCAGCCTTATCACCCGGTCCTTGACTGTTGTCTTTCCTCCCAATGTGGCTATACAGCAGTTTCGGGTAGATTTAATTTAGATGCTAGTGTTTTCTTTTGTCGCTGGCCCCCCCTCCTTATCTGTGCATATGTTTCTGCTCTTTACTATCTCCTTGTTTTCTGGGTGTATGCCTCCCGTACCTTTTTTATTCTTGTTGACTTTTTTTGCCTCCCCACACCCTTTGGGTAAAAAAAGGACCGTTTTGGTTTCCCATTATTTCTGTTTCCCTTGGGGACAAAAACCCTTTTCCCTGCCTCCTTGCACTTTGTTGCCAAAATTTATATTGTTTACGATTTTCTCCTTTTTCTGTCCCCCTGAAACCCCCTGCAGGGAAATTTCTCTATGTGTAGTCCCCCCCTTTTTAGTTTGGCCCGTCCCTTCAGTTTTGCTACCTTCTCCACTTGTAACTTCTATATATCAAAAATCAGAACCCGTGTGCTGCTCCAAAGGGGCCCCCGTAAGTGATTCCTCAATGTCGAAACTGCTCAGGGTGAACCAAAATCCATCTTGCTGGCTCTTCCCCCCTCTCTTGGTTGTGTCCCTGACATGTTGATGATGAGGTTTTCCAGTACCACATCCTATTTGTCTCCCTGTTTCGGGACCCCATGTGGCTCCGGTTTTTCCCGCGAATTTCCCCGTGGTTTTTTTTGGTTGGGTTTGTGTTTGGGGGTGTTTTGTTGGGTTTTCCTTCTTTGTTTGTTTTGTTGGTGGGATTGAATCAGGCAATTGCTTGTAGGTCTGGGTGTCAGGATCCTTTGTAGTTATTGCTGGTCTTCGATCGTGTGTTTTTTCACTTCACGTCAGTGCAAAGGGACACCTCGGTGTTTCTTCCGTCATGTCGTTCACAAATATCTGAAACAGCACTGGTCTAGGTACTGACCCCTGCGGGACCCCGCTGGTCACAGGTGCCCACGTCTGACACATCTGCCACGTACCATGCTCGCTGCTGTCTTCTGGTGTTGTGTGTGTGTGTGTGGTGTGTGTTGTGTGTGTGTGTGTGTAGTGTGTGTGTGTGTTGTGTGTGTTGTGTGTGTGTGTGTGTGTGTTAGTGTGTGTGGTGTTAGTGTGTGTGTGTGTGTGTGTGTGTGTGTGTGTGTGTGTGTGTGTGTGTATTGTGTGTGTATGTGTGTGTGATTGTGTATGTGTATGTGTATGTGTATGTGTATGTGTGTGTGTGTATGTGTGTGTGTATGTGTGTATGTGTGTGTGTATGTGTATGTGTGTATGTGTATGTAC